AGACAAAAGCCTCTAACAAGCACTTAAAACAAACAAACAAAAAAGGAATCCCAATGGCCAGCTTCCAGAAAGTATAAATTAATGTCATGATGAACTATCACGGCATACCCACCAGACTGGCAAAAATCAAAACATGTGACATGACCACGGATCAGAGAAGATGTGGAAGGAATAACAAGAACTTTTACATGTTGTCACTAGGAGTTTAAACCACAACAAGCACTTCGGAAAATAAAGCTAAAGATTTGCATACCCTACAACCTATTACTTTCACACTTCGGCACACATGCTATAGAAACCTGTGCACAGGAGATCAGCATAATGCACAAGATCGCTCACAATCATGCACTGTTCAAAACAGTTCCACCCCAGAAATGCCCAAACGTCCATTAGTAATATAATAAATATACCGTGATATAGTTTTAAAATGAAACACATACAATTAAAGTGATGACTTAGAAATCTATTAGGAGACACAAAATGAAACACTAAATTTGCCTATAAAAATTTTTAAAAAAATTTTAAAAGTGGGAAAATTAAATGCACTTAAAAATGACACAATTATGGCATGATTAAAATAAAGTGAAGCTAAGAGAACAGGAAGTGACTGGATAGACTTCTTGAGTACAGGCATTAGTTTCTATCACGATCTTAGGTAGCAATAACTGCTAATTTTTTTTATTTGACAGGTAGAGTTACAGACAGTGAGAGAAAGACAAAGAGAGGGAAAGGTCTTCTTTCATTGGTTAACTCCCCAAATGGACACAACGGCCGGAGCTGTGCCAATATGAAGCCAGGAGCCAGGTGCTTCTTCCTGGTCTCCCAGGCGGGTGCAAGGGCCCAAGGACTTGGGCCATCTTGTACTGCTATCCCAGGCCATAGCAGAGAGCTGGACTGGAAGAGGAGCAACTGAGACGAGAACCCAGCGCCCATACGGGATGCAGGCGCTGCAGGCGGAGGATTAACCCAGTACACCACAGCGCCGGCCCCGCATACTACTTTTTTTTTTTTTAACTTTTATTTAATGAATATAAATTTCCAAAGTACGAATTATGGATTACAATGGCTTCCCCCTCATACCGTCCCTCCCACCCACAACCCTCCCCTTTCCCACTCCCTCTCCCCTTCCATTCACATCAAGATTCATTTTCGATTATCTTAATATACAGAAGATCAGCTTAGTATACATTAAGTAAGGATTTCAACAGTTTGCTCCCACACAGAAACATAAAGTGAAAAATAATAGATGATTTTTTTTAATGATGATGAAATCAGATCAGACCTATTGTCATGTTTAATCCCAGTGAGAGTCAAGTTGGGAGTTGATAATTTCTTTTTTTTTTTTTTTACAGAGGATCAGTTTAGTATGCATTAAGTAAAGATTTCAACAGTTTGCACCCCCATAGAAACACAAAGTGAAATATATTGTTTGAGTACTCGTTATAGCATTAAATCTCAATGCACAGCACATTAAGGACAGAGATCCTACATGAGGAGTAAGTGCACAGTGACTCCTGTTGTTGACTTTACCAATTGACACTCCTGTCTATGGCATCAGTAATCTCCCTATGCTCCAGTCATGAGTTTCCAAGGCTATGGAAGCCCTCTGAGTTCTCCGATTCTTATCTTGTTTAGACAAGGTCATAGTCAAAGTGGAGGTTCTCTCCTCCCTTCAGAGAAAGGTACCTCCTTCTTTGAAGACCTGTTCTTTCCACTGAGATCTCACTCACAGAGATCTTTTGCCAGAATGTCTTGGCTTTCCATGCCTGAAATACTCTCATGGGCTTTTCAGCCAGATCCGAATGCCTTTAGGGCTGATTCTGAGGCCAGAGTGCTATTTAGGACATCTGCCATTCTATGAGTCTGCTGAGTATCTCACTTCCCATGTTGGATCACTCTCCCCTTTATTTATTCTATCGGTTAGTGTTAGCAGGTACTAGACTTGTTTATGTGCTCCCTTTGACTCTTAGTCCTTTTTTTTTTTTTAAAGATTTATTTATTATTTGAAAGTCAGAGTTACACAGAGAGAGGAGGCAGAGAGAGAGCTAGAATTGGAGGTAAAGCTAGGACTCAAACCCAGCATTCTGATATTGGATGCAGACATTCCAAGTGGTGTCTTAACTGCTATGTCAAATGCCAGTCCTTAATTTTCAAAAAGGATGGAACCATGTTACATATTTTTTATAATAACACATGGAACAATGCTACACTTTTCATTCTAATAAATATTTCAGAATGAGTAAAGAATAATTTAAATCTTGCTTTGTGATTAAGATGTATAGAAATATAGCAAATTTTCTAATTTTGTTGATATTAGAAAACTATAGGCTAAAAGTAGAACTGCATGTGATAATAAGATTTAAATAACTAATTACAAATATAGTATATAGTTGGTTCGCATTTGACTTTTTTCTGGCTATTTGTACTTTATGGGAAATATTATCAATAGAACAGAAAGGATACTTTCCTTTTCTTTAAAGATTTATTTATTTATTTGAAAGGCAGAATTACAGAGAGAGAAGGAGAGACAGAGAGAATCTTCCATCCATTGGTTCACTCCTCAGATGGCTGCAATGGCCCTGTTGGGTTGGGCTGAAGCCAAGAGCCAGGAGTTTCTTTGGGGTCTCCCATGTGGCTGCAGGGCCCCAAGCGCTTAGGCCATCTTCTGCTGCTTTCACTGGCACACTAGCAGGGAGTAGAGCAGGCAGGACTTGAACCAGTGACCATATGGGATGCCGGTGTAACAGGTGGTGGCTTAACTCACTAGGCCACAATGCTGGCCCCAAAGGATACTTTTTAAAAAACTTCTACAAATCAAAATATGCTGCTGTTACTTTTGATACAAATCAAAAGATGAAGCTATAATATAGCACGTTAAGTCTAGAAATAAACTGAATTTTAAATTGAAATTTAAGGAAAAAGGAAATTTCAGGTGGGAAGAAAATTCTAGATATTATAGTAACAAGCTTATTATGATTTGGGAGTAAAATATCAGAAAATACTTTCAAAGACATAAAAATTTAAATATAATATTTTGCCTATTTAGGGTACTTTCTACCTTGCCATATTGTACAATAAGAAGTAGGACATGGGGGAGGGAGGCACTGTAGAGCAGCAGGTTGGGCAGCCATTTGGGATGTCTGTGTATCATATTAGAGCACCTGGCTGGAGTCCTGGTTATTCTTCACTTCCAATCCAGCTTCCTGCTAGTGTACCTGGGAGATATAAGATAATGGCCCAGATGCTTGGGGGTTCCTGCTGCCCACGTGAAAGACCCAGATGCAGTTCCTGGCTCCTGGTTTCACTCTGACTTACCCCCAGGGTGAGGTGGGCATCTAGGGTGTAAATCAGTGGGCGAAAGATCCCTTTATCTATGTCACTCTGCATTTCAAAATATCTTTTTTTTTTAAAGTAAGCCCTAAAAAGTGACAAAATATGCTTATTTTTACAGCTGTGAGTTTCCTTTTGAAAACAGCCTTGACAATACAGGAATATGATAAACCATCAATGGACTTGGAGCACAGTCAACAAAAGAACAAACAGGTAAGTTGGACTTTAGCAAAACTAAAGCTTTTGTGCATCAAAGGACAATATCAGCAGAAAAAGCAACTCAGATGGAAGAAAATACTTGCAAACCATGAACAAGTCTCCAAAAAGGGACTGACACTGAGAACATTTAAATAACTTTACAATTCAGCAACAACAGCAGACTGATTCAAAATAGAGAAAAGGGCTTAAGTAGACATTTATCCAAAGATATATACAAACACCAACTAAGCACATGAAAAAATGCTCAACATTGCTAATCATTAGGGAAATGCAAATCAAAGCCACAATGAGATACCACTTCATACCCATTAGGATGATGAGTATAAAAACAAAACAAAATTAATAAGTGTGGATGAGAATGTGGAGAAAATGGAACACCCTGTGCACTGCTAGTAGGAGTGTAAAATGGTAGAGCTGTTGTAGAAAATGATACGACAACTCCTTAAAAAATTAAGTAGAATTATTACATGATCCTGCAATCCCACTTCTAGGTATAAATGCAAAAGAAATGAAAGCAGGGGGGCTGGTACTGTAATACAGCAGGTTACGCTGCAGCTTGTGATGCTGGCATCCTGTATCAGAGCGCCAGTTCAAGTCCTGGCCTATTCTGCTTCTGATTCAGCTTCCTGTTAAGCATCTGGGAAAGCAGCGGAAGACAGTCCAAGAAATTGGGCCCCTGAAACCCACGTGGGAGACCAGGATGGAGTTCCTGGCTCCTAGCTTTGGCCTGGCCCAGACTTGGTTGCTGAGGCCATTTGGGGAGTTAGCCAGCAGATGGAAGAAATTTCTCTGTCTTTCAAATACATAAACAAATCTTTTAAAAAAGAAATGACTCTAACAGATATTTGCACAGATATTTGTACATCCATGTTCAGAGCAGCATCATTCACAATAGCCAAAAGGTGGAAGCAGCAAACAAATGAATAAACAAAATGCAGTCTATACTTGTAACGGAATATTATTCCACCTTAAATAGGAAATTTGGACACATGCTACAATAAGAATGAACTCTATGCTAATAGAAACAGGCCAGTCAGTAATGAAAGGAAAAACACTGTATAATTCCATTTATGGGAAGTATCTAGACTGGTCAAGATGAAAGAGATAGGAGCAGAATGGTGGTGCCAGGGGCTGGGGATCAGAGAGAATGGGAAGTTAGTGTTTAATGGGTACAGAGTTTCAGTTAGGGAAGATGAGAAAGTTCTAGAGATGGATGTTGTAATGATTGCACAACAATGTGAATGTATGTAATGTTGCAGAACAGTATCCTTTAAAATGTTAAATTTTGTTATCTGCATTTTACCATGATAAAACAAAATGAACTTGGAAGTAAGCATGAATACAGAATCAGTTTTGAAGGTGAAGATGTAAGCAGATCATTTTTCAGCCACAGCGGGAAGGAGAAAATACGACATAATTTTTCCACGGACTTTCTAACTTTTGTACAGTACCTGGATTTCCAGCTCAGCAATGTGCTGCCGCAGCTCAGCCACAGCAGCTATGCTATCTGCTTCCCGGAGCCTCACAGCCATCACTTCTTCCTTATTCTAGGGTAGCAAACAAAACAGTAAATCATGTGAACTGGAGTTTATAAATTTTTCAGATTTTAGGAAAGTAATAAGGTGCATAAATTGTACATCTGTATAACCTGGCAGGGTCTGAGGCAACACCCATAATAAAACAGTATGCTCAGTGTACCCAGTATAAATACAAATTATAAATGGCCATACATCAATTCAAATCAGGTTTTTCCTCCAAATGGATCTGTGTGAAATTCATGAAAAAATTTCAGGATTTGGATTTTTAAATTGGGTATCATTAGACTCGCACTATTCCACCGTTAAGTGAGAACATTCAAATTCAGTTGAGAAGGGAAAATGTTAATATTATAAACAATATCCTGACATTTTACAGAAATGAAAAATAAAATAAGCTTTAATGATTAATTAACAACAAGTCATAAGCTATAATCATAAAATTTAAGATGGATCCAATTTATATAACTCAAGGGCTGCTTTTCTTGGAAGAAATTAGGTTTGTTCCCGAATCATTCCACTATAACAAGGTAAAATACACACATTTAATCAGAATGTACTAAGTGTTGAGGTGACAACACACTGGTCATTCTCAAAATCTACAAAAGACATAGCAAAGATTTAATAATCAATATATATATCTCAAACATGGGGGAGAAATCAGTGGTAGCATATACAACAGATTTCATAAAGATCTGAACAAACATCAAAAATTAAAATACCACAACAACTCTTAAAACCCGCTACTATTCTGAATCTGAGCCCATTACTAATTCAAGGAAAACACAATTGTTTTCATCAGCAAATTCCCAAAATATGTATTTCTAAAGGACACTTTACTCTGTTTTACAGGTGCTAAGGCACTTAAGAAGCAATATTAACACTATTACCAAATATTCTAAGGGAAACTTAACACCAAAAATGAACAGAGATTAAATTTACTTCATATTAAAGACAAGTCAACATGGACAATTTAGCAGTAAAATCCTCAAGTACTGGCATGAAAAAAATAAGACTGATATAATCTCAATTCACATAATTTTAATTTTGAATTAGCGTAGTCAAATCCTTCAAAAAGAACCATGCTTAAACTAGCACACATTTCAGTACTGCCTACAGATTTCTGTCAGGGTAAACTGTAACAGCCATGCATATTTATTAGGATGTAATTCCACCTCTGGATTTCAGTGACACTGATAAACCACTCAAGCTTCACTCTTGGTTTTTAATGACACCAGAACAAGTTGATGGAATTACAGCTTTATATGTGCCATTGAAAGTCTTATTTCTTGTAGAATAGTAAGTCTGGAATCTTTAAAGGGCATTATTCCTATTATCTCCCCATGAAAATGTGGATGTCCAGTTTATTTTTAAAATCCCTAACTTGCCTTTAGTAATCTACTCCAAAACTCAGACCACACTCATCTCTGTAGCTATTTTACACACAGTCTCCCTCTCTCTCCTTTCACCTTATCCCCCAACCCCTGTCTATCTCATCACTGCTAGACTGTACATTTATTTCAGGAAGAAATGTACCTCAAATAATTTCGATGTTTTTTGATTCAAAACACTGGGGGTGAGGGAGACAGAGAGAGACTGATTGATTAAAAGAATAAGGGAGGGGTTGGCATTATGATAGAGGTTTAAGGGCCACCAATGATGCCAACTTCCCATGTCAGAATGCCAGTTCAAGTCCCTGCTCCACTTCCAATCCATCTCCCTGATAATGTACCTGGGAAAGTAGCACATGATGGCTCAAGTACTTGGGCCCCTACCAACTACTTGTGGTATCAGGATGGAATTCCTGGCTCTTGGCTTCAGCCCAGACCAGACTTGGCTGTTTGTGATGATTTGGGAAGTGAACCAGAAGATGGAAGTTCTGTCTGTCTCTACCTCTCTCTGTCACTCTGCCTTTCAAATAAACAGATCTTTCAAAAAATAATAAAAGGAAATGTACTTATTTTTACCATTACACTGGTACCTACAAATTTCTTTTGTTTTCTACTCTATCCAGAAAACATAATATAAGACTGTCTACTAATACCAGTCAAAGAAGGGAGTTATAAACCCTCTAAATTAGCTGTATTTTTGGTGGAGCTATTAAAAGCTTCAGTTTTACAGAGCTACCAGTCAAAAGAAACATTGTAAAGAGATACTAGTGAATGCCAATGCAGAAAATTAAAACTAACCAAGGAAATGTTTGAAAAGGTTTCTTGTCCAAAATCTAGCCCAGAACCAAGATGAGCTAACCTGGTCAGAAAGCAAACATCAAAACAAGTTCAGGGAAAGTGAGAAGTAAAAGGGGGGTTTTTCTGATTCTATTTTTTTTTTTAAATCCTGATGAAATAAATCCCCAAAAGGTATTATTAACATTAACAAAAACAACTGGCTGAAAGACATTTACCTTGCATTCAATCTCCGCTTGTTTGCGCTTTGCTTCACTTAATTGAGTAAGCAGTCCTTTGTTCTGTGCAGAAAGATACTGCACCTTCTCCTGTAGACTGGTCACCTCTTGTTCTGCTCTTCGAAGATGGTTACTATTGATCTGGTTCTAATAATCAGAAATAAAACTACTCAGACTACAGATAAAAGGCCTGGAATTTTTATAAATTTATCCATTTTATACCTCAACAACAGTATAAAAATGTTACTAGTGCAACTTAACTTTATTCAATCAATAAACTGATCAAACAAAATATAAAACTGCTTTAAAAACCTAATGGGGGGGCCGGCGCCGCGGCTCACTAGGCTAATCCTCCGCCTAGCGGCGCCGGCACACCGGGTTCTAGTCCCGGTCGGGGCGCCGGATTCTGTCCCGGTTGCCCCTCTTCCAGGCCAGCCCTCTGCTGTGGCCAGGGAGTGCAGTGGAGGATGGCCCAGGTGCTTGGGCCCTGCACCCCATGGGAGACCAGGAAAAGCACCTGGCTCCTGGCTCCTGCCATCGGATCAGCGCGGTGCGCTGGCCGCAGCGCGCTGGCCGCGGCGGCCATTGGAGGGTGAACCAACGGCAAAGGAAGACCTTTCTCTCTGTCTCTCTCTCTCACTGTCCACTCTGCCTGTCAAAAAAATAAAAAAAAATAAAAAAAAAAATAAAAAAAAAAAAAACCTAATGGGGACATTAGAAGCCCTCATGGTAACACAATATACCATTTATACAAAAATATCTGGACTATAAGAATGTTTACACACAATATAAAGAAAAGGTATTCATTTCTGAAACAAACAATGAGGGTACCAAGTGGACAAAGGAATAATGAATTTAACTCCTCTTTTCCAGTTCCCAAAGACAGCACAAACTGATTGGAAGGTTATCACCACTACTTTGTGAACTAAAAAGACTTATTTTATTTATTTGAAAGACAGAGTTACGGAGAGAGGTACAGACAGAGAGAGAGGTCTTCCATCCGCTGGTTTACTCCCCAGATGGCTGCAACGGTATGAGCTGCGCCGTTCCGAAGCCAGGAGCCAGGAGCTTCTTCTGGGTCTCCCATGTGGGCCTACTTTCCCAGGCCACAGCAGAGAGACGGATCGGAAGAGGAGCAGCTGGGACTCGAACTAGCATATACCCATATGGGATGCCAACGCTTCAGGCCAGGGCTTTAACCAGCTGTGCCACAGCGCCGGCCCTTTGTACACTCCTTGATGTCACAAAATGTGCCATGCGTATTTCGACAATCTCTCAGTATCCAATAGACTTTGAGTAGAGCACAGATTGATTTTAAATTCTGGCTTTGCCATCTAATATCGGGCATTGCCTAAAACCTCCATTACAATATGGTGCCTGGCATGTTTGTGGCTGCTGTGGTTAATCTATGTAAGATCAGACCACTGGCAGGGATAGGTCCGCTTTAGTTCCGGACACGTGGACAGTGCATGATCCCTATACTTTGCTTAAGATGCCCCTGTGCATGGTCCACCCACGCCTGCATGACCTTTTCGCTGATTGGCTCCCTTACTGTGCATGTCTTCTGTAAGCCTTATAAGCCTGTATACTTCCTTAATAAAGTAGTTCCTGCTTCGACAGAACTCACAGGTGCTTGCTGCGGTGTGCTTGACCCATCGACCTTACCTCTCCCGTTCACCTTGTCGGGGAGTGCTTGTACTGTCCCCTGCTGGTCAGGGGCCAGCCTCAGACTTAAGACCCCAACAATTTAGTGGTTAAATAAATCAGTTAATATCTCTGAGTTTCCACTTCCTCACTTGAAAATTTAGATTAACAAAATTTCCTATTTCTCATTTGGTTGCCTTCAGAACTAAATGAGATAATATGTGTATAGGCCGGTGCTGTGGCATAGTGGGTAAAACTGCTGCCTACACTGTTGGCTAGTTTGACTCCCGGCTGTTCCACTTCTGATTCAGCTCTCTGTTATGGCCAGGGAAAGCAGTAGAAGATGGCCCAAATCCTTGGGCCCCTGCACCTGTGTGGGAGACCCAGAAGAAGCTCCTGGCTCCTGGCTCCAGATCGGTGCAGGTCCGGCCATTGTGGCCAACTGGGGAGTGAACCAGCAGAGGGAAGACCTCTCTCTCTCTGCTTCTCCTTCTTCTTTTCTTTATTTATTTTTGACAGGCAGAGTTAGTGAGAGAGAGAGAGACAGAGAGAGAAGGTCTTCCTTCCGTTGGTTCACCCCCCCCCCCCCAATGGCTGCTATGACCAGTGCACTGTGGTCAGTGCTGCGCGCCGATCTGAAGCCAGGAGCCAGGTGCTTCCTCCTGGTCTCCCACGCGGGTGCAGGGTACAAGCACTCGGGCCATCCTCCACTGCCTTCCCAGGCCACAGCAGAGAGCTGGACTAGAAGAGGAGCAACCGGGACAGAATCTGGGGCTCCCAACCGGGACTAGAACCCGAGGTGCCGGCGCTGCAGGCAGAGGATTAGCCAAGTGAGCCGTGGCACTGGCCTCTCTGCCTCTCCTTCTCTCTGTGTAACTCTCATTTTCAAATAAATAAATGCATCTTTTAAAAAATTAAGATATAATATGTGTTGTAGGGCCTACTTATGTAGGAAGAACTTAATAAATGCTAGCTACTTATAATTATAGGACATGTTAAAAATATAGACCTTAAGTTGACTAGTAATGAGGTAGTTTTCCCAGTTAGCTTGACCTAGCCTGAATTCTCTCAATCCTAAATGATTCTATCAGTGGTTTAAACAGTAGGGACTTCATAATCAAAGACAGGTAAAAGCTAGCTCCTCATTTACCAGTTCTTCAAGTTTGGCTTAGTTATTTAATCCCACCAAATTTCAGAATTTACACTATTAAATTTAGTACAGAAACTAATATTCACCTTTTATGGTGAGTGGTGAAGATTACATGAGAAAAGTTTATGAAGAGAGTCTTATACAATGCCTGGAATTTTACAGATACTTAATAAATGCTCAGGTGTTCTATTATTACACACAGGCTGCCTCATGCAATAAAATCTGGATCATCAAACAGATTTAAGCTCCAAACTTTTCCAAGTGTCTTCATCTTTACTTTTCATCATCTTACTGCCACACAGAAGATATACCTTCTTCCTAAATCATCCTCTAAACATAATAATCTCTATTCCTTTTAAAGCAAGAAATATTATCGATCTACAACATTAAGTGAACGTCTTAGTACTGTATTCAAAATGTTCCACAGCCTCTCTTTACTATGTTAGCTGCTACCATGACAACAAATAACTATACTTCAGAGGAATACACTTTCAACATAGCTGCAAAGAATTCCCATACATAAAACCTCTATCCATACCCCTGAACACAAGATTGTGACTCAGAATTACAAAACACTCATATATAAAATGCAATAACTGACCATGAGTGAGAAAAAGCATACCAAGAATATATTTTAAGAAATTTAGATAATAAAATGAGTATATAAGAACTATATATAAAATAGTATATCTTTAAATTATTAGAAATTATTAGACATAAAAGAAAAAACATAAGCAAAGAATGAGCCACTATCTAAAGACATTCAGTGAATTTGAAAAATAATCAAATAAAATGTCTATAAATTAACATAACCACTATTATTAAAAATTAAAGAAAAGTTAAATAGTGAGTTAAATACACTGAAAAAATAATTGATGTCCCAGAAAAGATCATTATACATAGATAAAAGAATAAGAAGCTTCAAAATAAACCAAACGGGATTAAAAGACAAAATAGTAACAAATAAAATAAAAAATAAAAAAAAATAAAAAAGGTTGTGATAGTCTAAGGGATGACGATAAATTGAGAATTTTCAGAATTGAAAAAACAAAACAAAACAAAAAGACATGAATCCACAGTTCAGGAGGCACTACTAGTCCCACAGAGGATAAACACAAACAAATCCTCACCAATACACATGGTAACTAAACAAGGAATGCTAAAGAAAAGAGGTGGCAAATCAAGGTAAAAACAGGGTATCTGTGAAGGAAGATCAGTGAAAATGGCCAACAGACATCTCAACAGCAAAAACTTGTAATGTTTAAAAAATTAACTTAAGCTAATAATAGTATACTCAGTTAAACTGTCATACAAGAGAGAGAAGACTGGCCGGCGCCGTGGCTCAATAGGCTAATCCTCCCCTGCGGCGCCCCACACTGGGTTCTAGTCCCGGTTGCCCCTCTTCCAGGCCAGCTCTCTGCTGTGGCCTGGGAGTGCAGTGGAGGATGGCCCAAGTGCTTGGGCCCTGCACCCGCATGGGAGACCAGGAAAAGCACCTGGCTCCTGCCATCGGATCAGCGCAATACGCCCACTGCGGCGGCCATTGGAGGGTGAACCAACGGCAAAAGGAAGATCTTTCTCTCTGTCTCTCTCTCTCTCACTGTCCACTCTGCCTGTCAAAAAAAAAAAAAAAAGAGTGAGAGAAGAGAGTAAATTTATTTTAAGTCAGGACTGAAAGCAGATGGAAACTATCAAATGAAAAAAATACAGAGTGAAAAATTGGTAACCAGGCAGACAAATTCAAATGAGCACTCATTCCCTTGGACAACAGTAACAACATCCAGCGATCTGTAATGATAGAAAAGACGTACAGTAATAACATGTAAGATGGAAGGAGAATAAATGAAGTTCCTTTCAGGCTGTTAGATAATAATTTCAGATTTTGTTCAGTCAGATAAGCACTTTAAATTTTTTTCAGGTAATAAACATTAATAGGAAATAAAAAGAATTATTTTTAAAAACAGCAGTATAGGGGTTGGCGCCATGGCTCACTTGGTTAATCCTCCACCTGTGGTGCTGGCATCCCATATGGGCGCCGGTTCTAGTTCTGGCTACTCCTCTTCCAGTCCAGCTCTCTGCTGTGGCCTGGGGGGGCAGTGGAAGATGGCCCAAGTCCTTGGGCCCCTGAACCTGCATGGGAGACCAGGAGGAAGCACTTGGCTCCTGGCTTCGGATTGGCGTGGCGCCATCCATAGCGGCCATTTGGGGAGTGAACCAAAGGGAAGACCTTTCTCTCTGTCTCTCTCTCTCACTGTCTGTAACTGTGCTTGTCGGGGAAAAAAAAAAAAAAAAAAAAAGGCAGTATAGAGAAAGTGAAAGAAAAAAATAAATCCAATAAAAAGCAAGAAAGGAA